TTTTTTTTCATTCGTATATAACCCTAATGCAGAATGTGATTATCATCTTCACAAGTCATAGTTTCGAATTCTCCGAGAGTTCGTTTGATAGTGCTTTTGAAAAGTTAAAAGTTACCTTTAAGGCTAAGAAATTACTTCTCAATCTATTTAAATAATTTTATGAAAATACTTTATTGGACAAAAAGTGCTTTTAGTGGAAACTAACTTAAATTTCTCACGAAGCTCCTCTACAAGAATAAGAAGCAAAAGCAAAAAATTCTAGACAGACCCTAATGAACAAAGCCATTTTCCACTGGTCTCCTGCCCTTTCCATCAAGTTTGTTTTAAATGATACTTCTCAATCGCCATATTCAATATTTTTCTCTTGTATAACAAGAAAATTCAAAATTTGGATTCTACAATTGTGAGAATCTTTAGAGATCTTTCTTTTACTAAAATTGTTAATCGTACATCTTAGCAAGTAACTAGAAATCTAACACTATTGACTGAAGTAGGAAGACTCATGTCTGGCACTATCAGTAAGACCATTTTGGGAAAATGGCTCCAAGGGATTTAACCCTATATATGAAAGTAGATAAATATTTAATGACATGTACCTACCAAGAAAGTCATTCTTAGGGCCAGTGACAACAATGTTATTCTTATGGAAAAATAGCCCCGAAGAAGTTAACCCTACATACCCTACACGAGTCTTAATTTGGGATTTCTTGAACAAAAGGAGATTTCTTCTCTTTTATGTTCTATATATCAAGTAATGAAACTTGCTAATGCACAGTATGCATAAAGATTGTTGATCTACAGTCTTTAAGATTTAAACCACCAAAAAAAAGAAAAAAAACATGAAATTTTGAAACTTGTAATTAACTTATTCATACCATGATCATAGTAGAACTAGAGATAACAAGAACAGATAAAACACCAAATTACACTTCCTTCACTTCAACAGCTGGTTTTACCTCAGCATGTAGATAAAACACCAAATTACACTTCCTTCACTTCAACAGCTGGTTTTACCTCAGCATGTTCTTGAACTTTCTTAATATCCTCCTCCTCGACCACGAAAGCTTCAACTGGAAAACATCGGGACAGCCCGGTCGGAGTCTTGAAGGTGATTTTTCCGTTAGGCGGATCGTTGACATATATGTCACTAAGAGTGATCCATATGAATAGCTCCTTAGTTTTGACACCAGTAAGTTTCTTGATTTTGTTTGGCTCAACATAGGCTGTGATCTCAGTTTCATATTGAACAAGTCTATCAATTTT